CATCACACGGATCAGCACACATTTAAAACATCTTACTAGTGCTCGCCATAGTGAAAGAAAGAGCAGTGTTCTTACTGTAACAAACGTGCTTCAAGCAAAACTGTCCCTGAAGATGAAGAAGAGGATGACGCATTCTCCCGGCACCCACTTATACTATGGTCATGCTGGTAGTGACGTCATAGGCTGTCACCGGCCAATGTTATTGTCGTGCTTAAACATGTGCTTCAGACACCAGTCACGCCGAAGTCATTCCACATGGTGACCACTAGAGACGCAGTTCGAGTTCCCCTGGAAGGGAAAGATAAAGAGTAAGGTCAAGCTCTAAAACATGCAAAATTATGTTCTATGGAATTTCACTTTTCTCTTCCCTTGAAAATCAACATTAAACTTTGAAATTACTAATATATTCAATTCTAAAATAACTAAATATACTATATTCTAAAATAACTAATATAATATAATATTTTGGCTTCTGGGAAAATCTCAGCAGAACATAAGCCAAATTAATACAAAATAAGGTCAGAAGCCCTGCATGTTTATAATACTATAGCTTAATATAAATAACACTACTATAAAATGCTACTATATTACTGGGCCTGCATAAACAAACAGTATTCTCTGAGAACCTTGCTTTAAAACATAAATATGAACTTTATTAACTATATTGTGTTGTTATTTCTGTGGTATATTCCTGTCCTTGTCCAGAACTCACCAAAAAATAAGACTGAGCCTAGGAAAATCATCCGTTCCCCATATGATAATAATGATCTTGCGTGAGATCTATGGAAAATTTGGTGTGAGAAAGAATACACTGTCAATCAGGAGATTCTAGATCAATCAGCAAACTAGGAGCTTTTCTGTCACTAGATTTGAAACTTAACAAATTCACACATCAGCTGGTATGAAGCTGTGATCTGTCTAAAGCACATTTGACAAATCTGTTTATACTCTATTGTCTTAGTATTGCATGTGTGCAAGCAACTCTCACTTCTCCTCTTTGTTTCAAAGGGGAAGTTATTAATTTCCAACATGCATTCCCATAGTCCATAGAAAGCCCTTTATTTGCCATTTTAAATGGAGCTTTGCAGTGCAAAAAATGCAATAATTCTTCTTTAACTTTGTGGTTGAAAATGAGGCAAAATTGTATTTATTTAAAACATTTATGCAACAAATATACATGTAATATTATTGGTTTGTGGCAATAATAGCTTTCCTGAGGCGTATCCAGAATCTCATGTTACTCAAAGGGTCTCTGCTCCATTTTAGGTATGTGTTCTTTTTCAGATGCTTATGAAGTCCAAACACTTTCTTAGACTTCCTCTCTTCCACATCTTCCAGAATGATGATGATGATGTTGGCATTGCGCTCCATCATAAAGCGAGACTGAGCTAATTCAAACTCAAATCGACACCAGGCACTATCAATGAAGTGTTGAGACACAACCACAATGATTTTACGACTGCCCATTATACCTTCATCGATAATGTTGGAGGCGATGGACTTCCCTGCTTGAAAGTCCCGCATATGAAGGCAAAGCTGAATAGGTGGAACACTGTTCTCCAGATTCTCCATCAGTTCATTCATGACCCAGACTTCATCATAGCTGGAGAAAATCACAAATGCATCATAAGAACATTCTTGTTGTTCAGGTGATCTATAGCCTCTCAGTAGAATACAGCAATACTGAAGATAAAACTGGAACCTATAAACCAAGAATGACAAAAGAACTACTACTGTAACAAAACATACAGATAAAACAATTGTGAGTATTTTCTTGTGCACACAGCTGTCAATGTCAAAGTCTGTTGCTCTAAAATCTGAACTTGGTGAAAAGGTTTTACAGAAAATATTTTCCGGTTTCTTCAAAACGTTCTGATTTTGGATAATCCACCAAATAAAATCTGTCTGGGAGCAGGAGCAACCGATGGGGTTAGAGGATAAATCAAACTCCGAAAGGTTTGTGGGCAACGATTGGAGAACATGAAGTGGTATGCTAGTAATGCTGTTTTTATCGACATAAAGTGAAATTAATTGTTTCAGGTTTGGGAGGGCCAGAAAATCTATAGTCATTAAATTGTTTCCTCTCAAATTTAAAAGTCTAAGCCTTTGAAGATTTTTGAATGAGCTTGGATGTAACTCTACCACACGGCAATATGACATGTCAAGATGCTCTAGAAAAGTGAGATTATTAAACAAATATCTAGCTACATCACCCTGAAAATTACTGCCGGCCATCTTAAGAACATTAAGATTCCTCAGTCCATAAAAGCAAAATATGTTAATAAAGGTGATACTTGAATAAGAAATATCTAGATATCTCAAATACTTTAAGTTAGAGAAAAGAGAAAGGTATCCCATACCTACAACCCTTGTATGGTGGAAATCTAGAATCTCAAGGGAATCAAGTCCATCAAATGGTCCTATAGAAAGACCGATTTGTGGATTTAGACTCAAATTTAAATACCTCAACTGAGGGGTGCCAGAAAAAAATGAGCAGCATGATGTTAATGTAATTTGGTTTGAACTCAGATCCACATACTGAAGACTAGGCATGTCTATGAAGTCTGGAATTTGGGTTGCAACGTTGTCTGTAAATACTAGTTTTTCTAAAGTATGGAGATGTGCAAGTTTTTTGCCTGGCACAGTATCTAATTGATTGGAAATCAAATAAAGCTCCTTGATTTCATAAAATGGCACATTTGCTATTTCACGAATTATACCACCCTTCACAGCTACAATTGTTGCATTAATCATACAGCGAAAGATACTAACTGGCACATCATGCTTTTCTTTCATGTAATAATATACCTCATGAAAATTAATAAAGCAAAGACCATCTAAATAGTTTGCATCTGATGACAAAATCTTGTAATCACACCTGTACTTTCCAAACATGAGCCTTTTGACATTAAGACCATATAGAGCTTTTAGACCAGCTTTCTGAGCAGCAGGTGAAACAAAGGCAGATCGGATGTTCAGTTCTCTGAGATAAATGTCTTTGAAAGCTCCTGGTTCAATGTATAATAATGGATTGCTAGAGAGGATCAAAGTCATGTTTCTGCCGATCTCTCGCAACACAGCAGTGTGATCAGTTTTGATGATGGATATATTATTGGCATGTAGATCAAGTAAACTGAAGTCTTTGAAGGTGCTCATGAATGGAGGGAGAGACATGGACTGGATGTTATTTGTCCCGACTCTAAGCTCCTGCAGCTTGGTTAGGTTATTCATTTGAAGCTGTAATGATGAGAGACCAACATCTACAAGAACTAGTCTTTGTAGATTATGTAAAGAATTTAAGCATCCAGGTCCAAAATATGTAATAGGGTTTCCAGTGAGAATCAAAGTAGTCAAATTCTTCACATTGTAGAAAGTATCATTTTCAATGTGCTTGATTTGGCATCTGAAAGGCAAAAAGATAAAAAAAATTGTACATTTAAAAAAAAATAGCTAACATGTATAAATTGTAACACATAATGATTCATGAGTGTTAATTTACCTCGTGAGATCCAAGACTTGCAAATTGACCAACACAGGAAATGCACACTTATGTAAAGAGCTCAAGAAATTGAAACTGAAATCCAGAGACATCACAGTGAAGGGAAGACTGCTGGGAATATGAGTCAAATTTCTCTCAGAACATGAGTACTCCATGTTCTTTATTATCTAGAAATGAAAGAAAGACACAGGAAATGACCATTTTTGCTTTTTACTTCAACTTACTTTTGGTATTTTTTATTTTTACAACCTTCGTGTTCTGTCTGAGAGACACCAAGGCCTTTTTACTTTACTATTAGATAGATAGATAGATAGATAGATAAAGAGTAAAGTCAAGCTCTGAAAAGTGCATATATACATACTATGAAATTTCCCTTTTCCCTTCCCTTGAAAAACAAGGTTAATTAGGAAATTACTAATATATAATATAATATAATATTTTATATTATAATATTTTGTTTTCTTCTTCACATTGTAGAAAGTATCATTTTCAATGTGCTTGATTTGGCATCTGAAACCAAATACATCAATTAATATTATTTACAACACATACATATTTAGATGGTAACAATATTACTTACCTGGACAGATCAAGGACTTGCAGGAAAGACAAAACAGGGAAAACAGTCTTCTGTAAGTGTTTCAAAACATTAAAACTGAAATCCAGAGTTTGAACAGAGGAAGGTATACTGGGTGGTATGTAACTGAGGTTTCTTCCCATGCATGAGTAGTGCAGATTCTCAGTAATCTAAATAAATAAATAAAATGAATACATTTGACAACAGTAAAAAATATAGCAAATTTAAATGGAAAAAAACTTACTTTTGTGCATGATTCTCCAGCACTTATGGAAAAATATATAATGAAAGCACTTACAGTAAAGAAAGTCATCTTGAGTGATCTCAACCGGTCATAAAAATGTAAGCCAGCCTTGGTTGAGGTCATAAAATTATGAGGAACAAATGCCATGATTTTCAACAATGGGGAACTATGGGTGAAAGGATGTCAAAGGGAAGTAGGCTTGTGCTTAATTTCGTAAATCTTGAATGAAGAAGTACCTTTCTGAATAGATGAATTGTAATATTAAAATCCAATTTTCTATACAATTATATATCATATTAATTTTAGTTTTGGGTTTTAAATGTTATATTTAAAACTAAGAAAAAATATGTGCACATTTATTTATCTAGGCAAAATTTTATGCCTAGATTTTTTTATTAGATATTTATATAATTAGATATTTAAATTCTCCATATCGCTAAAGTCGTGTATTTATAGGCTAGATATGAACGATCATTCGAAGCATATTGTATGCTTTATAAGCAGTGAAATAATCATGTAGGCTTTGCCTTTGACCGAAATTCCAGAATTGTCAGCGAACTGCATGTGTAGCGCGGTGAATGTTTATGATAGTCAACCAATGGGATGCTACATTTTATTCTTTCCGACATTAAAGCACTTGAATACGACAAGCTCGTAATCACGACTTCATAAGTGGGAAATAGGAAATTTCCGATAGCACGTGAAGGCAGCATAAAAGATGCCTGCTTAAGCATTGCGTGGTGACTCCTTCAACGTGTGTTTATGCTCTGCGGGCAGTAATAGTCTTTTTCGCCGTCTATCCCCTTTTTGCTCTTTGCTGGTGAGTTGTCCGCCTTACTAGTCTTTTTCGTAAGTCGTAAGTCACAGTCTAAATATGTGTTTGCCATTAGGAGTGTGTGCGAGTGGAGTGGCGAGCGCAATTCGCATAAAGTCTGCTGTAGTTTAAGAATTTCATATAGGAGGTAAGAAATTTATTGTGGGTTTTAAAGGGTTACTCCACCCCAAAATGAACATTTTGTCATTAATCACTTTACCCCCATGTCGTTCCAAACCCGTAAAAGCTTCGTTCGTCTTCAGAACACAATTTAAGATATTTTGGATGAAAACCGGGAGGCTTGTGACTGTCCCATTGACTACTTAGAAAATTACACTGTCAAGGTCCAGAAAAGTAGGAAAAGCATCGTCAGAATAGTCCATCTGCCATCAGTGGTTCAACCGTAACGTTATGAAGCGATGAGAATACTTTTTGCATGCGAAGAAAACAAAAATAACGACTTTATTCAACAATTCGTCTCCTCTGTGTCTCGCCGCATCACCGTATCGCCATTTTGGAGAATATCCGCTGAACGCAAGCAGACACTCTTCTGTGTCAGCCGCGCTCCACGGATGCGCTGTTTTCGTTCAAATCAAAGCGTAAATACACGTAGAAAACTTATCCTTGTCTCACGGCTGACATAGAACAGCGTACGTTCAGCGGATATTCTCCAAAATGGCGATACGGTGATGCGGAGAGACACAGAGGAGACAAATTTTTGAATAAAGTCGTTATTTTAGTTTTCTTCGCGTACAAAAAGTATTCTCGTCTCTTCATACCGTTACGGTTGAACCACTGATGGCAGATGGACTATTCTGACGATGCTTTTCATACTTTTCTGGACCTTGACAGTGTCATTTACTAAGCAGTCAATGGGACAGTCACAAGCCTCCCGGTTTTCTTAAATTGTGTTCCCGAAAACGAACGAAGCTTTAACGGGTTTGGAACGACATGGGGGTAAGTGATTAATGACAAAATTTTCATTTTGGGGTGGAGTATCCCTTTAAAGGGGAAGTCCATTATTGAAGTTAAACTTTTTATTCATGCCCTGGTTACATTTGTATTGCAGGTGCGGCCTGAGAGTGCTAGCTGCTGTTTCATATACCCGTTTTATACACTGCTGTTTCATCGCTCGGTTTATGCGGCTGATTCTGACGGCTGTGGATGCCGCTGTTTTGAACTGCGATTTGCCGGGTGCTTTCTAAGACTAATCTGTCCTAGGGCTGCACGATAAATATCGCATGATATTTAACGCGCATCTCGTCAGTAAAGCCGGTTCTGTAATCAGCGGTAAATCTCCATCACGTGCGTGCTTTCACGTGGAGCAGCATTTACTACACAGAGCCGTTGTTCACTGACAAGCTGCACAAAACCACGATCATATTTTGCGCAGCTTGTCAGTGAACAACTTTATAACTGACCAAATTTGCACAGCGTGAAGGCATGTTTAGGGGTACAGCCAATCACATAATAAACCCAAAAAGCGTCTGATTTAGCCTGAAAGAGTTCACTTTGCAATAATGACCAAATTACTTTAGAATAATTAAATTATTACATACACTGTAAAAAAATTCAAGCTGCTTCAACTAACTATTATTTAGTAACTAGTTCCACAGAAATGTTTACATTCACTCAATTATGTATAGGTGGAACACTGTTCTCCAGATTCTCCATCAGTTCATTCATGACCCAGACTTCATCATAGCTGGAGAAAATCACAAATGCATCATAGGAACATTCTTGCTGTCCAGGTGATCTATAGCCTCTCAGTAGAATACTGCAATACTGAAGATAAAAATGGAACCTATAAACCAAGAATGACAAAATAACTACTACTGTAACAAACATACAGATAAAACAATTGTGAGTCTTTTCTTGTGCACACAGCTGTCAATGTCAAAGTCTGTTGCTCTAAAATCTGAACTTGGTGAGAAGGTTTTACAGAAAATGTTTTCTGGTTGCTTCAAAACGTTCTGATTGTGGATAATCCACCAAATAAAATCTGTCTGGGAGCAGGAGCAATCGATGGGGTTAGAGGACAAATCAAACTCTGAAAGATTTGTGGGCAACTTTTGGAGAACATGAAGTGGGATGCTAGTAATGCTGTTTTTTTATCGACATAAAGTGATGTTAATTGTTTAAGGTCTGGGTAGGCCAGAAAATGTATAGTCATTAAATGGTTACCTCTGAGATTCAAAAGTCTAAGGCCCTGTCCACACGAACGCGGTTATTTTTAAAACCGCAGCTTTTTCTACGCGGTTAGGCCGTTCGTCCACACGCAAACACAGCACCAGTTCACTGAAACCGAACATTTTTGAAAACGACTGCCAGGGTGAAG